CTGTTGCATAACAAGCCATGGCTCGATGGTATTTGAGCGCGTGGAATGCCACGTCTGTCTCATCATTTTGTCCGCTAGAGTCACCTCGCATTTTTTACGAACCTACGAACGTCGTTTCTGGAGCTGGTACTCCTTATATGCTACTTGGTACACATCATAAGCTATCCGTACGCCAGAGAATGTCAACTTAACATGTAAGGAATACAAGTTCCTGAAATATCGTTCATGATGAGGGTGAGGTGGCTCCATTGGACAATATCATGCGAGACGTATCTGGCACTGAAGGTACTCAGATGCCATTGAACTGTGGCCTGCCTTAACCCCTCACCCTCCAGGCAACTAGGAGCAAAGGGGCTGTGCAGTACACCCTGAAATCTAGTCTTGAAGGAGTCATTCGTTTCTTGGAATATGTGTCAACGATTGAATGGTTACAGCCAATAAACAAGACTTGTCAGTATTTATGCTTTGCTTGCGCTGCTCTTGAAAAACATCAGCAGTCATCCTCAGCGCAGGTAAATATTGTTTACTTTGGTCCACGTTCTTTAAAATTTTGTGCCATTTTACCGCATTGCCAATCAGAGATTTCATATATTTTGAAATATGAGACGAATCGCAACTGAACTACCGACGAGTATTCAGAATGTTACCCTACTGAATACGCTTCTAAGCAAGCCAGTCATCATTAGTGAAAGCTGGCTGTGCTCTCCAACGGGTTCGTTCACGCTTGCACACGCATTTCACTCTGAGCTCAAAATTTTCTGTGATTTTTTATAGGCATTCGGTTACTGCCGAGGTGATCGTCGAGGCGCCGTATGAGTTCATGGAAAATATCTTATTTCCCAAAATGAAATTTTCGTCGATTTTTCGCAGTATCCTTGAACAAACATTTTTCTCCAATCTAGCAGAGTAAGAAAGGCAAATTTTGTTTGTTGTGATCACTAAAATAGCTAACGGTTCAGCTTGAACGAGTCTGACAAGCTTCTGGCACACTTGGATAGTTTCCATCGCAGTTCGTTCTGCTCCGAGATCCCTGAGCCGTTGAAGAAAGGCATGGCGTTGTTCCATATGATCTCTGGGTCTGACACACCGGTTCTAAGTTCTTCGTAAGCAGTCAAAGCAGCACTTCTGCCATGGTGGCCGATTATTGACGTGTTTTAATGTTCGTTATGGTTTAGAGAACTACGTCAGAAAACAGAGCAGTTTTCGGTTTTCTGGAGACCAATCTGCAACCTGGACATGACTGTTTGGTAAGTTGCGTAATTTTTGTGATGCCAGCTATTCTGCATCGGTTTCAAATATCTTTGCCACGTAAACAGTGATCCCATAAGTGAACAAAGCTCGATTTCATGGCTCATTTAAACCGGCTGTGGCTTCATGCACTGCATCACTGAATCTGGTGCGTTTAGCATCATATAGAGGCGATCTCTCACTGGAAGGTTCAAACATCTTTGAATTGTACACAGGCGATATATAACTGGATAAAGATCGGAACATATACAAATAAACAGTAGTAACAACGGAACGGGTGCAAAGATAAAGCAAGCCACAAATAAGTTTTAAAACAAAATGGTTGCATTATAAGAGGAGGCAGATCCACGATGATAACTAAATTTCAGAAGTAAAGTAAGTAAAGTGAAGAAAGAAATTACAAAATCATTAAGGAAAAATAAAACCCTTGTATGGAATACCCAGGCTAAAATAATGTACGACGCGGATCGAAAAAACGGTATGAAGACCTTATTCAAGAATGTTTTTTGCTACTTTGGCAAAAAGTCCCAATTAATATTTATAACAGAAAAGCGTTACATATCGTTTAATCTGACAAAAGTCATTGTGATATGCGGGAAACACGTTGAGTCGCTACCAAATCCTGATGTGACTGTTGACCAAGATTTGCTGTATGATGTTATGATTAGACTAAAGTTGGGTGCTGATGCTAGACCGCTGACCCTTCAAGATATGAACAAAGCTTAAAATCAACTGAAAATTGACAGAGCTGTAGGAACTGATGAAATGCAACGACAGTTAAGGAATTCTGAATGAACGGATTGCTGACAGTAGTGAATCTCTTCAGATTCGTACGGTAGAAAGAGAAGATCGCAAATGACTGCACGAAAAATTTTGCGCTGTCAGTATTGAGGAAAGGCTGCTGCTCAGATCCCAACAACTTCCGTGGAATCAGCTTACTGTTTGTTCCTTCTTGAAACTTGATTAGGCATCCTGAGGAGATCTTGGGTGAAGGGCAGTTCGGATTCAGGGCAGGCAGATAATGTTTGGATTAGGTATTGACAATGAGACAAGTAAAAGCAAACAAGAGTGAACGGAAATTCTGATTTTTTTTGCAATATTCATCGATTTCATCGAAGCGTTTCACGCTCAATTTGAAGAAGTTCCTTGTGCAAAGTTGATGCACTGCACGAAATCCCATAAGAGATAATTCATATAGTTCAAAAGATATGCATTTTTGTCAAGTGCACTGCAGATTGATGGCAGATTCAACAAATTCTATTGCACTGAGTTTGGAGTAAGACAAGGAAGATTGGAATCCGGTTTATTTGCGATGTATCTTAACTGAGTGTTAGACCCAATACGAAGGAGTGAGCTAAATCTGTTTTATTTCTCTTCGATTTGAGGACGATATATTATTGCTTGCGAACAACTTTGAAACTGTGACATCACTGTTACTAACTCGGAAATAGAGGTGTTCCGAATCTTCTGATTAACTTATCGAAGACGAAGAGGATAAAAATGGTAGAACACAGACTAATCACTGTCTGACCTTTGACACCGAAGTTGTGGAAGAGGCACCAGAATATCAGTATCTTACGAGTACTTTGGCTATGGAAGGACGAGTGATAAGCAAAGGTAAGGTTAGAGCGCTCAGGGAAAAAGACGCTATTGAAGCGCTGGAATGACAAATATGTTCGCAATAGCACCAGGCTGCGGATATATAGGACTTACATTCTGAACACCCTTCTTTATGGCTTGGATACGGTACCACTCGACAAAGCTGAAAACAGGGAACTGAAAGCGACAAGAACTTTAAGAACGTATTTACTAGTGAAGTGGTACGACCTTGTGTCAAATGTTGTTGTGCACGAGAGATTAACAAATCCATCTAAAGTCCTCGATTTGCTGCGTCTAAAGCGTTTAAGATGATGGGATTATTGCCAACAATGGAGGAAAGTGGCCTTGCGGAGCGGGTACTGAAAGCAAAGCCTGATGATAGAAAGAATAGTAATAGAACTGACATGACATCGAAAGGACTGAAAAACGAGCACTCATATTTTCGACGCGGGTGGAGTGCTTGTATGGTATGTGACATCGTCTTCGAAGAAGAGTCGTTCATATTATTTTCATCACAAATGAAGATTCAAAAACTAGCCTCTTAACTCGTGTTAACCAAGCAAAAAATATTCGTTTAAACGGCGGGATATGTCAGTAACGGCATAACTGCACTCCTTCAATAGCTAATTTACAGCGCGTGACGCTGGTTCATTCCTCTTAAATGCATATGACCATTTACGACCATTTACCACTTAGGCAAGCCGAGACTCAGTGCTATTTCAACACTAAAAGAATGTGTGTAGCTGCATCTTACATTAATTATGTGGCAAAACCAACACTTTCCTCGTCAGATAAGTTGGTCCTATAACAGATTTTCTTATGCAGCCTACAATACAGCATTATGAGTTGTTCCCTCGGAACTTTGATAAGTGAATAACTTACTCCACATATAAAAGCCTAAGAAAACTGTTGTGTTTAAAACTATTGAAACAGAGGCAGAGGTAAACCTACATGAACGTTCGTAAACATATGTAAGTATCATTTGTCCAGCAGGTCCGTCTTCATCGTTCTTTGTAGGAGGCGGTGGCTGCACACGCATAGGATTACCCTCGTTTTGGCTCACGATCTGCCACTGGCGAATCTTCACGTTGCGGACAATAACGGTAAATTTGGAGTAGTCGTTTGTCGCCAAGCCGTTCTGGCGATTGAAGACGCGTTACGCAGATGGGCAACTTTCACTTTGATCGACTGCCATTCATACATCAAATTCGAATATCGGTACGAGTTTTATCAGTAGAATTCCTGAATGTGCAAACCCAAGTTTCAGATTGATTCGTAGCTAGTATGTAATTATTATCGATCTGTTTATTAAAGGAATGGACGTCAGCCGTCATCTTTCTGTTTGATAAGGACCAGCTGCAAGCCACCATGCTTAGTGGTGCGACTAGCATTTTTAAATGAAGTGAGCGCTACGATGCAGAGGCAGGTAAGTGCCGACTAATCCTTATTCTTTTTCTTGTTACTCGTATGCTGATCGATCAGCATAAGCGAATATGTATTAATAGGAGATACGAATGGTAGTTGCGTAAATCGTCCATTATCAGTCCACTGAATTTTTATGAATTGAACTTTCAGGGCAAATGTCCAAAATTCTGGTTATTGAGAAAATTGGTGCGTTACGAATACCGAGAATGTTTATTTAGATTGACATATAAATGAATGAATGAGCGGACAGGTAAATAGGGATAGATCGCTCTAAGTTGCAAACATCGCCGGTTAATACGTCTCCAGTCGAATATATTGTCAGATGAAACCCTTAAGATTGCTGAAGGATTAATGCGAAATGTTTCGAAAGAGCAATATCTTGCCACTTCAGGCATTGGATGCAGTCTGTTAACTGAGGGTATATGGTGTTTGTTCTGCCTTAATCATTTAAAGTGAATTTTCATGTTTGATGATTTTTTCAGAGCATATTAAAGATGAAAGAAATCCTGCTTTCGCAACGCATCCCGCTGCGTACCGTCACGTACGTAGATGAGCAGTCCGACTGTGACCTGTTTGACACGATACCGAAGCTGGACACGCATGCTGAGCCGTTTTCTGCGTTTAACAGCATTCCTGCATGCTATTTGATCAACAAGCCAATCGAGAAAATTCTCATCAGGTTCCACCCCTTGTTGCTGGCTAATTTAAACATTTCTGTGATCATTGGTTTTTGTAGACACGAATCGTTGCCCCATAACCTTTCGCAGATGTTTCAGTACGAAGAGGTGTCGAAAAACGCATTAAACAGTGTCCTTATTAGGTACCTCAATTTCCGGTAAGCTGCGTTGATAAATTAGCATTAATTTCAGTTAACTATTTGAATGTTGTTAGACAAAATAGGATTGGGAATCACTAGGTAGATGTAGCCTTTCGTGGCTTAATCTTCACACTGCCAACATACCCCAAAGACCTTTAATACCTCTCGACACGTACGACCATTATCCGTGTCGTGCAACATCTCTTCATTTAAGTGGCCACACCGAAACATCACATGAGATTTCCATCGTACTCGCAAATGCTGCGCTCCACCGTAGTATTTACGACGCCAATCTGCCATCAGGCCAATCTGCAAGTACGAACGGTCAGATGCCAGCAGCCATATACAAGCGTCCATCCGTGGTATTTGACTGCGGTTTCGTGTGTTTGCTTTCGAATAGTTTGTATAACCGACCTTGACTGGTCAGCATAGATCACAGGACCCTGGCCTCACAAAATGGCTCCATTGGCTCTTGAAGGCTGGTCCTTGAAAAGTTGCGCATCAGTAATGCCCCTCCCCTTATGGGCCTAAATTTGATCTCAACGATTTAACTTTTTTCACATCCGTTAGTTTCTTTCTGCCGTGAACGAACCGAGTACGGCTACAAATGTCCGTAATTT